ATACTAGTTGGACAGAGATCAGTGTTGGACTTCGGTGGTAAGAGGCTGTGGTACTTACCGGGTTCGAGACTTGGAGATTGTTGGGGATGATACTCAGCTGCATCACAGATTGGACACCGGTTACATTAGGACTCTGTATCTCCGACATTGGTGACTTATTGTCCACGGCATTTGATCTTGTTCGATGACATTTTGGACTACCGTATCGGTGACCTACTGGTTTCTATCTCGGTGACATCTGGTGCTACTTACATCTCCCACCTCCTTCGTCTCTCCTCCCACCTCTCATCTGTGTATGTTTGTACGGGGCCTGAGCATCGTCTGTGCTTGGCTCMGACCCCAACATCTCACGATTGTTTGTGTGTGGAGTGATATCTGTGTGAGTCAGTCTATGTGAGTCGGTCCATTATCAGACTTCCGCTGCATACATGCTCATCCTATATTGGTTCATCTTTGGTGCTGCCCCATACTCGTTGAAGTATTCGTGAGTATGTAACAGTTTTGGTATTGGAGCAGACCAAACGATGGATCTGCTCACCAGGTAAGTCTGATTTAGGAATGGATTACTTCTTTGATCTGCCAAATCAGCTCTGTATTACTATCGAGATTCAAAGTTGCGAATTTTTTTTTCTTTTTCGGTAGTCTGTTTAAATCGGCATTCCGTTTCAATTCGTTATTCGGACTTTCACTTCGGATTTCTGTTTAATCCGGAATTCTGTTTACTTCGGATTCCGATTAAGTGCATTCTGGGTAATCCGACATTCTGTTTAATTCGGATTTCTGATTTTAATTCGTGATTAGGTTTAAATCAGTACTCTGTTTAATTCGGCATTCTGATTTTAATTCGGTATTCCGTTTTTAATCCGCCATTCTGATTTTAATCCTGTATTTCGTTTTCTAAATCGGCATTTTCGTTTTATTTCGGTATTGGAAATGAGGGTTACGGAAAATTTCGATTTTTTTTGAGCAATTTGGGAAATTTGAATGTTTTGGAACCGTAAAACCGGAAATTCTGCAGAAACGCGGAAAATTAGGGTTGGACTCCGAAATTTTCGCGAATTTTTTTTCTTTCCCTAAGTTTGAAAATTCCGAAAACGGACTTAGGCCTTTAAAAATCGGATTTTGTAGGTTGAAATTTCCAAAATTTTACGTTTTTCAAAAATTTGAGTGTTTTTCTTCCTAAGTTTCCGAATTTTTTTTTGGCAAAACTGTTCGTAATTATTCCCCCCGAATCGCAACTTCCGGGTAGTCCACTATTCAACGGTGAACTCCCGGACTATAGATGATCTCAACGGATACCTAATCTTTACAATTCAAATTCGGGAATTATCATTATTACAATTATTGTTTTATTGATTATTATTAAGAAATATTAATTCATTATTAATCTAGGTTACCGGGCCGGACGTCCGGGACCCCCCTGACCGTCCGGGATGTCCGACCATTGGTAACCTAGTTATTTATCATTAATGAAACTTTATTGATTATTAATTCGTTATTATTTTCTTATTACAAATTTTTTAGTTGTTTTTGGGGGAAGTTTATCTTTTCTGTTTGATTAGGTGTTTAAAGTCCATCATTGGGACAGGGGCTGTATGCAAATTGCCTGACCTGTTCTACCCCTGTACCCACCCTCTCCCTCTCACTGTTCTGCGACCATTCGGACGGGGCCCTCAACAGCAGTTACTGATGCCAGCAGGGCAAGCCACCGAACAGCAGCCACGACGCAGCAGGAGGATCGCAGATCCCCAACAGCAACAGCAACCTGCAGTTCGACAGCAGCCACAGACCAGCACTCAGATGGCGAACACGCCGAACAGCGGGACGTCATCCGAGACGTCGACATCTAGCAATGCCGAACCATTGCCGGTCTGTCCTGCTCAAGGGCCGAATGAGCCCATCGCGGACTACATTYAGAGAGTGCAGACCTATAYGGCCGCACTAACCCTTGCCAAGGAACGGCAAGATGCTGCCGAAGCAGACAAACAACGGCTAGCAGCAGAAGCTGCAGCCCGCGCCCAGCAACAAGCTGAGGCGGCGCAGTTGGCGACCGACCAGCTCAGCGTCGACAGTGCCGAGCTTCTGATCTCTCAACAAGATCAGTGGACGACAGTACTCAACGGGATGCATTATGTGCCCGTAGCAGGCGCCGAGCCGACGACAGTACAACAGGAGAGACAAAACCTGGCAGACATTCTACTCAACACAATGCGTGCCGTCAGCTGGAACAGCACCATGGGGGAACTGCATTCCCGATCTACACAGCAGCTACAGAATGATCTCACCCATAACGTGAAGACGCTGGCAGCAGTCGTTAAGGTCGTGGACTCTCAGCTGAAACAGATGGACGCCCGCATTGCTACTCTGGAGGCAAGGCCTCCCCAAGCGGCGCAGGCTGCACGACAGACACGACGAAGCAGCTCAACGGGCGCATCGACCATGTCGTCAATCTCATCGGCGACCTCGGTGCTTTCACTGGTCCGGACACGATCAGCAGCACAGTGGCTGCCATCAAGACGGACATCACCAAGCTGCAGACAAGATCGGACGCTACTACTAAGAACTACAAGATGCCGCACTTCAACATCAGGAAGTTCGACGACTACAACAAGACAGACGCCTTGACATGGTGGCAAGGTTTCCTCACGGAAGCATCTTGCCGCACTGTCCCGGCTGAAGACATGTTGAAGGCGCTCTACCTACAACTGATTGGAGGAGCACAGGCATGGATGAACCATCTGGCGGCAACCAAGCAATGCACCATCGCCGAACTCCACACGCACATTACGTGGAAGGAGTTCGAGCAACTATGGTTCACTCGGTTCATGGTCCGCAACGTCGTGAAGGCGGCCATGAACGAGGTGTATACCAGCTCACAAGGAAGCATGCCAACTCGAGACTGGACAATCAAGTGGCAGAAGATAGTAACCACGCCAGACTTCGAGTTGAGTTTTCCAAACCAACGATCCGAGTTTTTCTCGTGATCGTGCGCAGGATTGAGGTCGGCACTCGGCAATGAGTAAGACTATGCCTCGTTCCAGGCTATTCTGGATCGCGCGAACCTGGTCATCCAAACGAACGACAAGGCCGCTAACGAGAAGTAGTCCCAGCCGCACTATGTGGCTAAGCAGGGCTATCAACGACCGACGCATAACAATGCCGTGATTTCTGAAGAAACAGTCGATCTCCACGCTGCAGCAGCATCCTCGGGTGATGGAGGAGTTCTTGCAGCGCTCCTGCCAAAGCGTCCCAAGAGAGTTCGGAAGAACAAGGCGACAGACGAGACGACATTGGCAGGAACTGGGCAGCAACCATGGACGGCATACAGGATAACCAAGGAAGTATATAACCTTCGTCAACGGTACGGATATTGCCTTTGGTGCAATGGTGTCACTCACTTGACCGCACAATGCCCCGACAAGGGCAAGGCACGTATACCCCGTCCAACAAACTCGGGAAACTGAGTTGCGCAAGGAGAGAGGCGACGTCTCTCCTCACTCCGCCGGAACCGGTTGCCTTGCTAGCAATCGATGTCACTACTGGGGAGCATGCGTTAGTCGCTGATTCTCGTGCTACGTACGAGGATTATGGCGCCCAGCTGGTACCACCACTAGACCAGCCGAGCCACGTGCACTTAGATTGCGTATGCGCAGCCTGTACACCGTCGGCAAGTGATCCGGTCAGCTCGCCACTGATTTCTGAGGACTCGACGGCGTGGTCAAGACTTGAGGAGCTTGATCCGCTCACGAGAGAGGACTTCTCTTGGATGCCTCTTCCCTCAACCGGAACCTTGCCAAGGCCGCATTGCAACGCCTTAATGGCAAATCTGCGCTCCTATTTGCACACTACAGTACCAGCTCCGTTGACGGACGACGGAGTAGCAGTTGTCGATCTCCGCTCCTATCTTGCGAAGATTGACCGCGAGTACGCCACCCAAAGGTACGCCGAAACCGATGCGCCTTCGCTCTATATCCGCATTCAAATCGGAAAGGCAACCTGTAGTGCCTTGATTGATTGCGGAGCGTCTCACAACTTTATGAGCCAAGCCTTTATGGCCCGCGCGTTCGAAGGAAGACGCAACTTACGCAAGTTACACTCGCGGACGACCGCACGCAAAAGTCAATTGACCGATGCGTCGACAACGTTCCGGTATACTTTGCGCCACTTGCGTGCGAGCCGGTGTCTTTTGACATCCTCGACACCAAGTTCGACATGATTCTAGGCATGTCTTGGTTGCGTAGCGCCGATCATCCGGTGAACTTCCACGACCGGACCGTTCACATCCATCGGAACGGAGTGTTAGTCCCATGTACGGTCGCAACCCCTCACACTTCGATTGCTTGTCACGTGGTCTCCGTTGCGAGAATTCGCGACGCCATAGCTCAGAATGACGTCGAGGAGATGGGCCTTGTATTCTTGCATGCTCTCCCCTCGCCGGACGGACCAGCCGCGTCACCGCCGGACCCACGCATTTCTCACCTCTTGGACGAGTATAGAGACGTCTTCGAGGCTCCCGCCGGAACGGTTTCGGATCGGCCCATACGTCACGGGATCACTCTCGAGGCTGGTGCCGTCCCTCCGCGTGGATGTATGTACCGCATGAGCGAAGAGGAACTCGAGGTGCTTCGCGCACAACTCGATGACCTTCTCGACAAGGGCTGGATTCACCCTAGTTGTTCGCCTTACGGTGCCCCTGTTCTCTTCGTCCCGAAGAAGAACAAAGATCTACGGTTATGCATCGACTATCGAAAACTTAACGCACAAACCGTAAAGAACGTCGACCCTCTCCCTCGGATTGATGATCTCCTTGAGTGGTTAGGTGGCGCCACGTACTTCTCGAAGTTGGACTTGAAGTCAGGTTACCACCAGATCGAAATCCAGCCTCAAGATCGGTATAAAACCGCGTTCAAGACACGGTACGGGCACTTTGAGTGGGTTGTCATGCCATTTGGCCTCACCAATGCCCGCGCGACGTTCCAAGCAGCGATGACGACTGAGTTTCCTGACTTGCTCGATCGCAGCGTCCTCATCTACCTTGATGACATCTTGGTTTATAGTATGACGTTGGACGAGCACATCGTACACCTTCATGTTGTTTTGGATCGTTTGCGACTGGCCAAGTACAAAGTGAATCTCAACAAGTGCGAGTTCGCCAAGCAGGAGCTTGAGTACTTGGGTCACTATGTTACGCCGAAAGGCATTCGTCCCTTAGCGGACAGGATCCAAGCCATCGTGGATTGGTCGGAACCCTGTTGCACGACGGATGTACGCTCTTTCATGGGTTTGGCTGGATATTATCAGCGATTCGTCGAGTCATACTCGAAAGTGGCCGCTCCTTTGTCGAGACTTCAGTCCCCAAAGGTGCCCTTCGAGTTCGACGAAGCAGCCCGTGGCGCGTTCACTACGTTGAAGGCAGCGATGCAAGCCGCACCTGCCCTCCGTATATACGACCCCACCCTTCCCACCCAAGTGACTACGGACGCTTCGGGATACGGCATTGGTGCGGTGTTGGAACAGTGTCACGAGGACAGTTGGCATCCGGTCGAGTACTTCTCCCAAAAGGTGCCTCTCGTCAACACTCTCGACGACGCTAGGAAGAAAGAGTTACTCGCGTTCGTCACCGTTCTCAAACGGTGGCGCCACTTTCTTCTCGGCTGTCGGCGTTTTAAATGGAATACGGACAACGATCCGTTGACCTTTTATACAATGCAGGATACAGTCACTAGCACGATCGGTCGGTGGATGTATTACATCGACCAGTTCGACTTTGACCCGTGCCACATTCCCGGTCCCGCCGCAGCTCACGACGGCCTGATTTTTGTGCCATTGTGACCACGACATTCGACCTCAATAACGATCTGCAGCCGCATTTCGTCAAAGGCTACAAGTCCGATCCAACTTACTCCACGTATTACGCGGAGCTTTCATCGGATCACCCGCCGGCTAGCCATTACCGGATTTCCGATGGTTTCCTTCTCCTTCACACGAGAGGAAAGAACTTGTTAGTTGTGCCCCAAGATCGCATCTTACGGACTCGTCTTCTCGGCGAATTCCACGACGCACGACTTTCGGCACACCTTGGCGTAAACCGCACATTAGCACGCCTCCGCCATCGTTTTCATTGGCCGGACGTCCTTCATGATGTCACGAGGTACATTGAGTCATGTGCAGTTTGCCACCGTAACAAGGGTCACTGAAACTGTTGCCGATTCCTCGGGCACCGCGCCTCTCCATTGCTATGGACGTGACAGGCCCGTTCCCCTGCGATCGCCACGGCCATGACGGTATTCTCACGGTTGTTGACCGTTTGAGCAAGTATGCTCGTTTTCTTCCTTGCAAGTATCATGCTGCAGCGCCTGAGCTCGCACGACTCTTGCACACTGGTTGGATTACCAACCAGGGTGTTCCGGAAGACATAGTGAGCGACTGAGATACTCGCTTCATGTCGGCCTTTTGGACTTCCCGTACGGCTGAGTCCGGCACGACAATGAAGCCGAGCTCGGCTCGGCACCTGCAGACGGATGGCCAGACGGAGCGAGCACACCAGACCGCTCAGATGATGTTGCGTACGCTCATCCATCCCGACGAGAAAGATTGGGTTGACCGGCTTCCCGACATTGAGTTCGCCTACAACACTTCGGTGCATCCGGCGATCTGCGTCACACCTTTTGAGCTACATCATGGTGGAGAGAAAGCACGGATCTTTGCTGATCTCCTTCTGCCACAGGCCGCCGACATAGGCGTCCCTTGCTCTCTCGCTTCCGTTCGGAAGTACCGGGACTTGCTGATCAAAGCCCGCGCAAATATGCAAAAGGCTCAGATCAGCATGCAGCAGCAGGCTAACCGACGTCGACTTCCATGTCCTTTCCGCGAGGGAGACCTTGTTTGGGTCCTCTCCGAGGAATTTGCGCTCGAGCAGGACGTTTTGCGCAAACTCCTTCCGAAATGGTTCGGACCATGGGAAGTCTGGGAAGTCACTTCTGCCGTTGGAGACGACCCCGCAGGTACTTCCTTTGTGGTCAACATTCCTCCGCACCTTATAGTGCATCGGGTCTTCCACGCGTCGAAGCTGGCCATCCACACGCCACCTTGCACCGACAAGTTTCCCGGCTGTCGATCACAAGATCCGCCTTCTATGGACGGACATCAGGAAGTGGACCGAGTCATCACGCACCGCAAGTATGGCAACAAGCCAATGCAGTTCAAAGTCACATTCAAGCAATGTGCGCCTGACGACACTCGGTGGATCTCTAGTGCAGACTTGCAGACTTCTGCACCCCTTATCTTCGCCGACTATGAGAAGCGACGCCTTGCCAAGGAAGCAGCTCGTCCCGCCCAACCCGCTCCGGTATCGGACGGACAACTCCACCCTCGCAGGTAGCTCGGTCTTTTAAGAGGGGGAGTGTGTTACATCTTCACGCCACACGGGCCCTACCGGACCTGACTTAGGGCCAGAGGGACACAGCAGGGCCTAAAGGCTCGGACTTGGGGTACAGCAGGCCGTAAAGGCCACGTTTTTGGACCAGACCGACGGGCAGGCCCAAACGACATTCTCGTTTTGGGCCTGGCGGTG